GTTGCTGGACTTTTGGAGACTTAGATGAGCCTGAGATACTGTAGGTACTATATAGGAAGGAGTTTGAGTAAAAGTAACGTTCTTTACATTTCTTTTTATTTTGTTTTTCAGGTCGTCAGACTCCTGAAAAGTCAAACCTGGACTTAGGTCTAATTCTATAAACTTTTAAATTGGGTTTTTATTTGCATAAAAGTAACATATTAACATTTCTTTTTTGTATATTTTATAAGAACAGGTTTTTCCTTAGGACTACTTCAAATATCTTATAGAAACGTTGGTATGCATTTCATTTTTATTTTAATAAAGATTTTTGGGAGGGAATGTTTCATATTTGTATTTTATTTATTTTTATTTTATTTAATAAAGTACTAGTAAATAATAGTAATTTAAGCAGTAAATTCAGTAACCAAATCATTATAAATTTTGTGACTAAACCATGTAAATTCAGTAACAAAATCAGTGTAAATTCCGTGATAAAATCGTGCAAATGATACGTTTTTGTGATATGGAATTGTGCATTTTTCCGTATTCTCTCATGATATGTTATTTCTAAGGAAAAAAAATCTTATAAAAACTTTATAAAAAACGTATCCAGTTTTTTTATAGGGCAGCAAGCAAGTTTGATCTTTATGATAAAAAAATTTAAGAAATTTATGTTTCAAAAGTTTTGATAAAAACTTTTTTATAAATTTTAGTTTTTTATAATATAAAGTTTTGGTCTTTTGAAACTCTTTTAAACATTCTTTTTATCGCAATTTTCGAATTACTGAGAACAGTTTAAAGAGGAAAATAAAATAAAAAAAATGATTTTTTTCAAAAACCCACGAAAACAGTAAATTTTATTGCATTTTTAGATAGAGAAGGTGCGATTATAACCTGAAAATGTTAATTTTAGAGCAGAAAACTTAATTTTTCGGTAAGTTTGCATATAAGCGACTTTTGAGATTTTGTGTAACCTAAAAGTTCTCTATAAGTAAACTTACCAAGAGTTGGATTTTTCATCCTAAAATCAAGGTTTTCATGTTATAATTGCACCTCCTTCCAAAAATACAATAAAATTTACTGTTTTCGTGGGTTTTTGAAAAAAATCATTTTTTTTATTTTATTTTCCTATTTAAACTGTTTTCAGTAATTCGAAAATTGCGATAAAAAAAAATTTTTATCAAATTTTCTTGAAACATTTTTTTAAAAATTTCTTTAATTTACAAAATAAAAAAATCCCACCTTTTCCTTCCAGTTTCTCAGCTTCTTTTAAAAAATTAAATGGATAGAAAATTCAATATTTATGATATTATTACTCTTAGATTCATCTAAGCAAGATGAAGCCAATGAGATATAAATTATTAGTTTCTAATTATTAGATTATAGGATAACTCAAGTAATATTTTATACTACGTTTTCATCAATAATAATATAAAAAAAATGTTACGAAACGTTTTTTTATATTAAAACAAACGTTTTACAACGTTTTTTATTAATACTAATATAAAAAAATGTTACAAAACGTTTTTTTATATTAAAACACAGAAAAAAACGTTTTTATCAATACTAATATAAAAAAAGTTACAAAACGTAATTTTATATTAAAACACTCAGAAAAAAAATGTTTCGCAACGTTTTTTATCAATAATAATATAACAGTCAGAGGAAATGTTTTTTTATACTATGTTTATTATAACAAAATTTTTGATATAATATTGACTTTCAGTTAAATATCAAGTACATGATTTAAAATTGGCTAAAAGTTTATTAAATTTCTTTAAATTGCCAATTATTAAATCGTAATTCTGGCCAAAAATTTCTTAATGCTGGCCAATTTTATAATGCCGGCCTAAATTTTGTTAATTTCAAAAATTTTAATCAAGAATAACATTATGTTTATATAATGTAACATTTTTCTTGATATATGTTTTATTATTTATAGAGTTCTTAAAATATTTTTATAACTTTTAAATATTAAAAATTTTAGTCTATATACATAACTGATAATATTCTTTTTAGCGTTATTTTATCATTAGTATCAAAAGTCTTTAAAGCGAAAAAACCATCAATATTTTTTCATTTAGCACGAACGACACTCCCATATGAACCGCTTCCTAACGGTTCCAAATTTTTAAATTCTGAATAATTAGTAGTTGATGTGTTCATCAGCAATTGATTTTTCTAACCAATCAATATAAATATTATGATTCTTTAGGGTCATTTCTTTGACATTCTTGGCAATAGTTTTTATCAGAGTATTTTCTAAAGTGAAGCAAATAAAAATGCATGTGTAACTTGCACCACTATAAGAAATTCGTATTAAACTTAAGGAAATTAGTAAAATTTTATTAATGGCTTAGTAAGGTACATAAAATGTAAATGACTATCTAAATTAACGCCAATCCAATATGACTATCCGCTAGACTGTGACTAAAATTAGTCTAGGAGTTAAAAGAAAAATATCTGAATTGCATTCAAACTATTATCTGATCCTATCATATGCTCTACTCGTCATGCCTTCAAACATTGATATAGCACCTCCTAAATCACCGGACTCTCTCAAAATAGAAAAATCACCAAGTCACCAAATGTTAATCAATTTTCCAACGCTCCCTACCCAAAGAAAGATTGAAAAAGAGAAAAGTCATAAGTAATAACCCAAGAAAATCCCAGTTAAAACTGCGAAGAGATGTCTGCTTGGTGTCTTTTCCCTACTCAAGCAAGAAAATGAAAAATTCACTAGTCCAAAACTAATGACAACTAGTCAATTTTTTTCAAAATTCAAAAACATATACTTTTATGTGTTTTACATAAGCTTAAAAAATAAAAGGAAAGAAGCTACTTCAAATAAAGGAGAAAAAATGTATGTTTTATAAAGTTTATAAAGAGAGAATAGCTAAAGTCTTCTTGTAAAAAAAGCACTTTTGCGCAAAGCTTTAAAGTTAAATTTTCTTCTCGAGATCTACTACTTTTATTTATTTGTCACGGCATTAAGAAAACTGATTTCATCAAATCATAACCGAATTTGTAAATTTGTAATTTTATTTCGATTATCGCCGTTTTCAAATTTCAATTTGGCGGCTTGTCGATCAGTTATAATAAAAAGACCGAAAACTCGTAATTTTGTTGAAACTGTACAAAGCATCACGTTTCACATATGAACATATAAAATATTTTGATATTGAGGTGTTCTGTCATTATACTATATTAAGAGGACCCGAAAAATACATAAAAAGATCACATTTGGGTTTGCTTAAAATTTTCATGAAAAACTTGCCTTTTTTAGATAGTGCCGGCCTCAATTTTATTGTCTGTTTTGGATACTGGCCAGCATTATTATAATTCCGGCCCTGAAAAGTGGCTTATTTTAGGCCAAAATCTTGCCGATCATTTATGACCTCCTTATGTATTTTTTGGGGTCCTATCATCAAGTCCTATAGTAAAATTTACTATGGAATTTTAATCAGTATTAAACTATGTAGTAATATAGTTTAAATCAGCTTATAAGAAATCTCTCACTAAATAGGTGCATTTTTTATATACCTAAATAAAATTGAAACTCTCTCTTATTCTCATTTCAAATTCATAAAGGTGTTCCAAATACTTATCTTTTTTATAAAATATCTTGCTTTTTTTAAAAAAAATAAAAAAGAATCCATTTTTATAATAAAAAAATTGGTACCTTTGAGCATAGTTTCATAGGAAAAAAATTTTTCTACAAAAAAATGAGGTATTTCAAGTTTCTTAAAGTTATCATGTAGTTGGTTAAACTTTTAGTATTACATAAATGTTATCGCCGTTTTTAAAATGGTGTACGCAGTTTATTTGTGACTGTATATTCGAATACCAATATTCGCCCGGTTTTCATCCGTTTTTTGTCCATATTTCGTCCGGTTTTCGTCGTTCGGTTTTCGGGTTTCTTTTTTTTATTCAAATTTAACTGCGTACATCATTTTGAAAACGGCGATAATTAGTTGATAATACACCCTAATAATTCATGTTAAAATAGCAATGTTCTCTTATACAAAAATGATCTTTACACATATGAAAATGCATTTTGGGCTGAACCTGTAGTCAGACTTGAAATGTTAATATTTGACTTAATCTGTATACTGTAAATCTCCCCAAATACTTAACTCGGTAATAATCGTGTAAATTTATATATAATAATACGAATATAAATAATTTAATCATTGCTCTTAACGGCTTAAATAAAAACAAAAAAAAAATACTTATGGTACGAACCAATTTTCAAAATCAATCAAATAATCTGTACATTTAAAGGTAGTTTTATTATTTCAATTGATTATTATTATAAACTTAATAGAAAAAAATGCTTTTAACATTTGTCTGCAAAACAAATTTCTCCTAAAAAGAACGATTTAATTAAATCTCTACATTTCAAAGTAAAATTCTTAATTTAACGATATAAAAAATTATTAAGATTATTGTAAGAAGCATAGTAATATATGAAATAAACTTTTATAATTTTACTTGATTTTTCAAAATTTATGACCGAACTCTATCGAACTTACTACGTTAATCACATGATATTGTCAAAATTTTTTAAGCAGATCATTGTTTTTCTTCAAAGTTCTTAACAATTATTTTTGAAAGACTTTAATCGTATTGTTCCCTTATTATATAAGTATTGGTAAGTTATGTGATAACTAAAAAACACAACGATAATACAACAAGAGAAAAAAAAATAAAGAAAATAAAGTTCTACTTAATTTAAAGTTTTTTTTTCAATATGCATTGTTTCTATATCCTTTCATTGATCACACCAAACTGAGAGAATCTATTCGATATTTTGATGCCTACGAAGAGCATCAGGAATAGTAACCGGAGTCAGAAATCAAGTCATATCGCCCAATTGTAAATAAATTATAATCAAAAGAAAACAAAAAAAAGTGTTCAGTAAAGTTAAATATAACTATGATACATGTCTAAATTCTATTTTATATCTAATAAATATCCTCTTTTAAATTAAATAAATTATTATTAATTATATTAATTTATTTTGGATTTTGCTTCATTTCTTGTCTTACGATTTGAGTAATATAATTTTTTAAGCTAGCAGCATCATTATTTTCAGGAATTGAAATTGCTTCTTGTCCATGATTTGCTTCCTGTCCGTGATTAGCCTCTCGTCCACGATTAGCTTCTTGTCCATAATTTGCCTCTTGTTCATGATTAGCTTCCTGTTCATCATTGTAAACTTCTGTATTACTATCGCTATGAAACTTATTTTTATTTTCGTACATCTCATTGTTTCCTGGTATTAATATTATACCTTCATTATTCCTATGGTCTCCTGGTATTAACATTATATCTTTATTGGTTTTATTTCTTTTAAACATTTTATATAAAAAGAAACTTCCTATTGTTAATAAGATACCACCAATCAGTGCGCCTATTATCGCGCCAACCAAAACTGGCGTATTATTGGTATTATTATCAGAAGAAGGAACAGCTTTACCAAGATTAGGAGGATTAGGGGTAACTTTAGGATTAGGAGCAACTTTACCAGGATTAGGAGCAACTTTACCGGGATTAGTAGTAGGAGCTTTAACAGAGGAATCGTCAATTATAATAGTACCATGCATGTCATCAAGAGTACAATGACCGGGAACTCCACAGTAAAACCATGTTTTTCCAACAATATCATCTGATAAAGATAAAGTCCATGTCTTAGGTGCCATGAATGCACCACCAGAAGTAAAAGCGTTAGGTTTTAATGATTTTATGCATGATTTTGCTGCATCGGATTCGATAACGCTATGTTTACCGGATATCCAAGTAAAGACAATCTAATAATTTATTAAAGTTTATCTGAATAAATATAAATTATTTAAATTATTTTAAGATAAAGAAACAAAATAAAAAGATTGTTATACATACATTATCACCAACGGAGGCAGATACGATTTTTGGGGAGAAAATATTTTCTCCATTTGGGCCACCAACATTAACATTGATGTCAATCGCATGAACGTATGTAATAATTCCTAAAAGGAATAAGTATACAGTAAGAGTTTTATTCATTTTATTTTAATTTTTTTTTTTAAATTTTTTAGGTGCAAAGTGAAAGTAAATTTTTTTTTTAAAAAAAGTAAGGATCTCAAACGTGAGTTTTGCAATTTAACATGTAGATCCTTTTATTGGAAAGATTAGTAATAGTATGGTCAATCTCTTTGTTAGTTAATTATATCTTATTCGATGAAACAAAATAAAAAATTAAAGTCGTGTAACACCCCTGCATCAAATAATATTTAGCGCGAAAATCGCGTGATTTACCGCAGTTGCAATATAAGTTAATTGACCAGTCAAAAAAAATTTTGAAGATTTTTTGTATATATATATATATTAATAACTTTTTTAATAAAATTTAATATTATGACCTGTAGAAACGAACTGTGGCAAAGGCTACGCTATTATATTTGATTATTTTAATAAAAAAAAAAATTTTATGAAAACTTTTCTATCATTTTTTTTTAGAAAAAAATTATTCAAAAAATTTTTTTTTTTTTTTTTTTAGGAAAGCGTGATACAAGATTGACGTCAATAGCAACTTTGAAACTTAAATAACTTAACTAAATAAATAGTCAATAGAAATTATGAAACGTATGTCATAATTACTATTGGCTAATTTATCATGTTTATTTATAGATTTTAGGAGTTTTAACCATGCTATAACATAATATCCTTCCTAATTAGATTTAACTAATATTTTAAAAATATATGTTCTTATTTTATTTTATAAATGCAGGGTTTGATTGGAAGATCATTTAGAAATTAATTGCTGCTGATCCGAATATGATCGATAGAAATTCTTTATTTCCTTTATAGATAAGTTCATCAATTTGTAACCAAATCGCATAATCCAAATATTTAAAATATTTTTTATAAAAAATTCAAAATCCTACAAATCCGCTAAAAAATCGTAAGACATATGAAATCTTTTTTTTTCCTCCAAACTATGTGATTAAATTTTTATTGCACCTATCTTAGCTAACTTACGTCATTAAATGACGTACGCTTTCTAAATTTTTTATGATGATAATTATTTGTTGATAGATATAATTTAAAAATTTATTTTTCTATTAAACTTGATAACCAATTTTCATTTTCTTTATGATTTAATTATTATTTCAGAAATTTTTTTCCGTTACTATCGGGGTAGAGGAGATTTACGTCATAATCTATCTAATTAAAAAAATTGTCATATTTAGATTACCCATATAAATAATATGAATTGTGTAACATTCAAAAGTGTGATATTCTTAGATCGTCACGTGACCACAAAATCAACGAAAAATTCAAACCGCCATATGAATTTTGTTATATACACACTTAAAAAGAAGATAAATATACACTCAATTTATGTATTAAAATATTTGATTCTGGAATGTACTGTGTATAATAAATAAATTAAATAGGGCCCCAGACTTTTTAACGGATATTTTTAAGTGAGTTTTGAAAAAATATTGAGCGAAGCAAAAAAAAAAAATGATCATCTTTTTTTCCATATGCAGTATAACGTAATACACTCTACCCTAAATCAAATTTTGTCAATTTTAAAATGACATGCCTCTGTTAACTCCGAAAAATAAAACATTTAGGGAAACGATATGATGTCATATATCATCAAAATTTTATTTGTTTTGCGGGTACAAAATTGTTTTACAAATATCCTTTATTAATTATCCATTAATGTCAAGTCGTACTATGACAATGGAGTACGTAGCACTAAAAACGTAGCACCCGATATATTAAATGCAATTTCGCCGATCAATAACGGTGCACATTCTTCTAAATTCCGTTAAGTGAATATTAAACTATTGTCAAAATGTCAAATAAGACCGACCTTAAAAAATCAAAGGATTATATTAAATGGTTAGAAAAATCAATTTCTAACGAATATTTCAATTTTCACGATTATTCAGAATTTAGTAATTTAAGCCCGATAGGAAGTGGCTCATATGGAAGTGTCGTTCGTGCTAATTGGAAAGATACTGATAAATTTTTCGCTTTGAAAACTTTTAACCATGATAAAATCACGTTAAAAGAAGTTGTCAACGAGGTAATTTATAATATTCTTAACTATAGTTGGGTGCCGAAACATTTCGGCATATAGCAATTGCCGAAACTATTGCCGAAATCCCAAACTATTAGACCATTACTAAATCTAGATATAGATTAAATTTTCAATAAAATTAGGATTTTGGAAATGGCTTAGGATATTAGCAATGGGTTTAGGTTTTCAGATTTGGCAACTATATATACTAAAAGCTGAACTACTTTCAGTATATGGTCAATAAATTTCGGCATATGAAGAGTTTCGGCACCCAACTATATAATCTTAACATAATACTTTTGTGCATATCCTAATTAAATAATATTCAAAAATTCTTTATAGATAAAATTACAAAAAAAAGTAGATTTTCATGACAATATTTTACGACTATGTGGAATTACAAAGATAGAAGCTGGTGAGTTGCTTGGTTTTAATAATATTGTTAGTACGATTTTATTTTTTAACATATTGTCTTGATATGGGTATACAGAGAAAAAATATTCTTTAGTTCTGGAATACGCCGACAGTGGTACTTTAAAGACTTATTTAAGTAATCATTTTAATGAACTATTTTGGGATGATAAATATCAATTAGCATTTCAGTTAGCAAGTGCTGTTGAATATATACATAATTTTGATATTATTCATCGTGATTTGGTAATATATTAAAATTTTGAAATTTATTTTATTGATAATTTGATAATTCAAAAATTAACACTTTTTTTTAAATTAAAGCATGCAAATAATATACTTATACATCAGAAAAATATTAAGATAGCGGATTTTGGTTTGTCAAAAAAAATTGCTGAATCCAGTAGTATGTCAGAAGTGTTTGGCGTTATCCCTTATGTGGATCCAAAAAGTTTTAATAATCAATATAATAATTGTAATAAAAGTAAAAATTATAAATTAAATAAAAAGTCTGATGTGTATAGCGTAGGAGTTTTAATGTGGCAAATTTCAAGTGGACGTCGACCATTTTATGCAAATGATGTGAAATATGATATAGGTCTGGCTTTAGCTATACAAAAAGGTGAAAGAGAAAACATCATCGATGGAACTCCCGTTGAATATAGTAGAATATACACAGGTAATTGCTGTATATTTTTCTTCATTTAATAGAATATTATTAAGAATATTAATATATATATATTATTTATTTAATAGAATGTTGGAAACATGAGCCAGATGAACGTCCAAATATGCAAGAAGTTGTTTCAATTCTTAGATCAATAATTCTCCTTGACCAACATCATATAATTGAAGATTATAATGATAATAATATTAAAGAAAAGGAAGATAGTTTGTTGCGAAAATCTTTAGATAGTATAAATGATGATTTATTCTTGGATAATATATTAGATGCCATTAATTATGGAGATACAAGTTTACGATCTATTCAATCAACCATTATTGATGATGATTCTATTCAGACAAAATCAAGAAATTCATTTGATTCAACATTCATTAATAACATTAATAATATCTTTGTTGATAAATTAATTTCAGTTATTATCAAAAAACATGATTCAGGTTATACTTTTGATCAAATCCAAGAACTAATTAATCAGAAAATATTACAATTGAATCAAATTACAAATAACCTTGTAAAATGGTTTAAGGAAAATCAAGATAAATCAAAATATATTTGGTTTTTCGGATTATTTTATTATTATGATATCGAAATAGAAGAAAATAATAGTATTAAAGCATTTGAATTGTTTTCAAAAGCAGCAGATGATAATTATTCAATAGCTCAAGTTTATCTTGCTAAATGTTATAATGATGGATATGGAATTGAAGAAAATAAAAATCTAGCATTTAATTTGTACCAAAAAGCTGCAGAAAATGGAAGTATTATTGGGCAATTTTATTTAGGATATTGCTATGAATTTAACATCGGAACTGAAAAAAATGAAAATAAATTTATTGAATGGTATCAAAAGGCAACTAATAATAAAAATACAATTGCAAAACTTTATCTTGCAAACTGCTACAAATTAGGAAAAGGAATAAAAAAAGATGAACTTAAAGCATTTGAATATTACAAAGAATTAGCAGAAATTAAGATAGCTGATGCTCAATATCAACTTGGAGATTGTTTTTATTATGGAATTGGGACAAAATCAGATAAGAACCAAGCACTATACTGGTATGAAAATGCAATAAATAATGGAAATATCATTGCAAAACACATTCTTGAGCAAAAGTATAATAAAATAATTGATATTAAGAAAACCAAAAGTATAGAAATTAAAATTCATAAGACAATATATTTTGAAGGATTAAGACAAATTGGAATTAATAATTATAATAGCCAAAATTATAAAAAAGCACTTTATTATTTTCAAAAGGCAGCAGAAAATGGAAATAAATTTGCATTATGTAATTTGGGTAATTGTTATAAAAATGGTGAAGGTATTGAACAAAATAAAAGAAAAGCTTTTAAACTATACCAAAAATCAGCTGAGCAAGGGCATATAAATGCACAATTTGAACTTGGATATTGTTATGATAGAGGGGTTGGAACTATTATTAATAAAACTAAAGCATTTGAATTATACAAAATAGCAGCAGAAAAGGGTGATAAATCAGCACAAAATAATCTTGGTGTTTTGTATGAGAATGGTGAAGTCACAGAAAGAGATCTGGAAAAAGCTATTAAGTGGTATAATAAAGCAGCAGAAAATGGACGTGAAATACCGCAATATAATCTAGGTAGATGCTATCAATCTGGAATAGGTGTAATAAAGGATGAAGTCAAAGCTTTTGAATATTATAAGAGATCAGCTGAAAAAGAGTATTTAGACGCGCAATTTCAACTTGGATATTGTTATGATAAAGGTATTGGAACTAAAGTCAACAAAATAAAAGCAAATGAATTATATGTAAAAGTGTTTGAATTATCTAAAATAAAAGCTAAAGATGAGGATAGTCAGGGACAATTTTATTTAGGTTATTTATATTATTATGGTTATGGGAAAAAGAAGGATCTAGAAAAATCTATTTATTGGTACAAAAAAGCAGCAGAAAATAGATATGATGAAGCACAATATTATCTAGGTGAATGTTATGAACTAGGAGTCGGTGTAGATAAAGATGAAAGTAAAGCTTTTGAACTTTATAAGAAATCAGCTGAAGATGGACTTATAGTGGCAAAATTTGCACTCGGATATTGTTATGTAAATGGTATTGGAACTGAAATTAATAAAAGAATAGGATTTGAGCTATACGATGAAGCAGCCGGTAAAGACGGTAATATACAAAATAATTTTGGTGAAAATAATGTAGAAATAACAAACGAATTAGATAAAGTAAATTACTGGTATCATAAGGCCGCGGAAAATGATAATAAATTTGCGTTATATAAATTAGGTGAAATTTATGAATTGGGAAAAGGCGTTTATTTCAATGAAACAAGAGCATTGGAATTTTATAAAAAATCAGCTGATCAATGATTATACATCGGTTTTGATACCGATATTAATGAAAAGGCTGCTAGAGAAAATGTCAATGCTTATAATATATATACTGTATATACAACAAATTATATAGTACCAGCTGAAATATAATTTATTTTTTAAATTATTATCTATAAAATAGATAAAAAATGATTCTCATTTGAAAAATTAAAAAAAATTCAAGAAACTTATAATCTTTTTATAACGACACATTCTATTATATTTGCTTTATATTTTATTCAGTAAATTTCTTAATTGCGCATAAATTCTTTTTAAAAAATTTGACATGAATTATTATAGACTTTAAACAGTTATTTAATGGCAAATTATTCTTTAAATTGTTTATGTTGTTCTAATAATTATATCCTACAGGTTGCAGTGATTCGGCGGAACTACATTCTTTCTATATTATATTACTTAATGTATAAATATTAAATCTAGTTGAAAAAATTTTATAATATTCAAATAAAATTAAAAAAATTTTTTTAATCGTGAAATAAAAGAAATAAAGTACAAAAATACATGTAAAAATAATAAAACGAATTATTTTTTTTGGATATGTTGGAACTTTTTTTAATTCTCTGATTTTTCCTTTTTCTTCTTTTTCTTGACGATTCTTTCATTAATTTATTAAATTTATGTTTGTATTTACTAAACGTTCAATTTTATAATGAAAATATGTGAATAGATATGTGTAAATTGTTATATGATTATAATTTTATATCATTATGACGCAATAAATCATAAATCAATATATACCAAGAATTTAAATATAAATCTGTCTCTTAATGACTTGCGTAATGAACAAATTACCTAATACTAAGCATGAAATGTCAATTAACAAATTATAGCAATATGTTAACATTTACAAGATAAATGTAAGTAGTAGTAGTAGTTACTATAGCTTTTAATTATTAATTAATGTAGCCTAGATATTTATGCGACTTGATGACTTAACATTGAGTTAGCTCCCTACAATTAATTTCCTGTTTAATGTTAACTGCATTTTTATAGTACTAAGAACACCGAAACCGTAGTTGAACAGCTATGAACATATACTGTATGTTTTTATATACTGAGGAGTGAGAATACACCATTAGAACTGATGTAATAGAATACGAAATCACAAATTGCGGTTTGTGGAACAAAAATATTTTGATTACAGTTTATTTCAGCCACGTGAACATACTGTAAATCTTTTAAGATTTTTAATATATTTATTTATTTGTATCTGTTGTTATTCTAAAAATCAAAATCAAAATAAAAATATTTATTTGACTACTGTTAAAAGTTGATACAAATCGAGAAAAAAATATATTCTTTCTGTTCTTTCTTTCAAAAGGACATGTCCGAAATTATAAAATTTTATGCGATGCTATACTTAGCTTATTAATAACTGCGGTGGATAATTTTTCCGTATAAGAATTAGTTTAATTTTCAGCTATATATATAATAGTAATAGCGTCAGTCACACGTGACCATGCTATTATTATGGTAAATTGATAATAGATTATGGTAAATTGGTAATAGTATATAAAAAGTATAATTAAACTGTAAAACTTATTAAAGGATTGATATTTAGCCGATAATAAAAACAGTCATTAACAAAAAATATTGGTCCGTCAAAATCCGCATGATCCAATAGTTAAGTAAAAAAAAAAGTTTATTTATTTGATCTTATCTAAATAAATTAATTATGTCTAAATTGTATTAAAATTAATTTTAAGATAAACATTCCTAAACATTTAAGCTATATTAATATAAAAATGTTATTTAATGTATTAATCAAAATTTTGTGGTTGTAAGTCTGCTCAGAAACGAATTATGTATTAATATTTATGATCACACATCATAAAATACAATAACACTGCTTACTAATAAACTTCATTTGAACTATGCTCTTTTTGGTTTTGCATCATTTCTTTTCTTACAATTTGGACAATATAATTTTGCAAAGCGTCATTTTCAGAAATTGGAATCGTCTCTTGTCCATGATTGTAAACTTTCGTATTTTCTGAAATTGAAACTGCCTCCTGTCCGGGATTGTATACTTTTTCTGTATCTTGATTTTCACTCTTATTTATTTGTTTAGAATCATGATAATTATTTCTATTGCTATCTGGGATGAGTATAATATTATTTTTATTAAACCTTTTGTATAAAAAGTAGCTAACCGCTGTTAATAAACTAACACCGGTTAATAATCCTATTGCTTCTCCAACTATAATTGGTGTATTGTTCGTATTATTTGTTGCTTGTAGCCTTAATAGGATTATTTGGAATAATAGAATTGGGAGATATTTTATTAGTTCCATACATGCCTTCCCTACAATGTGTAGAAACACCACAATAGAACCATATTTCTTCAGTAGCGTTTAATTTGGACGGTCATTGTATTAGGTGCCTCAAATATACCATTTGAAGCGAAAGCATTAGGCTTCGATGATTTTATGCAAGTTCCTGTTAGATTAGATTCGATTACGTTATGTGCTCCACTAATCCACTTAAAGATGATCTATAACGAAAAATATGTAAATAATTTAATTATTATCTTTTTAAATTAAAAAAAAAAAAGTAAAAGGACTATTGTTATACATACTTTATCACCAACTTTGGCATATGCAGTTTGTGGGTCAAAAATATTTTCTCCATTTGGACCACCAACCTTAACTAACACATCATCCGCATAAACGTATGTACATGTAATAAGTCCAAAAAAAAGTAAATAGATAGCGAAAGTTTTATTCATATTAACTCGATTTTATGGGTATGAATTGAAAGGATAAAATTTTTCTAGTATTTTATATTTCCAAAGAATAAGATTATTTTTTGGTATTATGTTTCATTTTTTCTTTATTATAAGAGATCTGACGGATGATCCGATCTCAATCCGCCATCTGATCCGTTAAAAAATGCTCGTCTGATCTATGTATTACACGAGGATATAAAATAGCAGCTGAAAAGGGTATATTATTGCAAAAAATTACCTTGATTTGTTGCATGAAATATAAAAGAGCTAGCTTTTAATGGTACAGACAGAAAATTAAATTTATCATTGTTATATAGTAACATATGATAAATAAACGTATATTTTAAATGTTTTCATTTTAATAAATGGTTCAAAAAATATAATTAACAATGAATAATAAAAAATGGCCAATGACAATAACATAGTGTTGAGGAGAAAAAAAAGCAGCATTTTTCTTAAGATATTATAATAATAAAAAATGTTTTATTACTTTTATAATAAGATCATTTAACAAATTATTCTTTTATAGTTTTTATTATTTTATTATCGCAGTTTTCAGAATTCTGTGTACGTTGTGATTACTGAATGATTATAATTACAGGGACGATTACAGGACAACATTGTCCGATTTTTGTCCGATAAATCGTCCTGTAATCTAATAATTTTTTTATCAGATGATTTATAGGTGGGTAGCACAATTTTGAAAAGCACGATAATTAATAAATATCTGTTTTTCGTGTTTTTCGTTAAAATTTGAGAAAAGCTAATAATATATGGATGTTTTTATACTTGTTAAATAATTCTACTTGACTAAAGAGTTAGTAATATTAAAAAATCTATAAAAAACACGTGTATAAAACATTTAAATGTATAATAATATTCCATACTTAAACTTTCAAAATATATTTTTTTTTTTTTAATTACTTTAGAATTTTTTTATTGTTTTAGTAAAATTTTTAAAAATGTTGTTAAAATAGAAAAATGGTAAAGAATAACCAAATTAATAAAGCTGATCGCGCGTCGCCACACAAACCAATCGTCACATTTCAGACGTGCTAATAAATAGACCATATTACATAAGAAAAAAGTTATAAATGTTACAAATTTTACAAAAATGAAAAATAAGCTTCAAAATATTGATTACAAAACTTCAAGTGTTCAAAATTGAAGCCAAAAGGAATCTACAAAAAGAACCAGTATTCAACGCTATATTGAAGCTAGTTAGTTGGATTTTACAAGAAGAAAGTGAATACCAGAGCCCGGCTGAAAACCCAAAGGGAGGTTATTATAAAGCAAACTGAAACAAAAGTGGAAAAAATGAATATTAAATTCAACATACCTGACTTTTTGAAGAACCGATCCAGTTGAAACCTAAAGAAAAGAAAGAAAATACATATTGGTATTAAATAAAAAAGTAAAATTACAAATAAAAAACTGAACTTATCGACCTTAATAAAGAATCTAGCTGAAAGTAGCTGACCAAACCCTAAAGAAACAGGTTATTAGTATAAAGGAATTGCAAAGAATGATGAACTTGTCTGTTTTCTTTCTTAAAGGAAATTGCCCAACTGAGTTTCCAAAAAAAATATAAAGCTTATTTTATTGAGGAAAAAAAAGATATTTTCATTTTTTACTTATTGATCTTTTATCAAAATGATATATTCAAAAAAGAAATGAGGCACTACTTTTTTTTTTAAAAAAAAAAAAGTAACGAAAAGAGCATATTTTTTTTTATTGTCAGGTTTATTAGTAAAGCACAAAAGCGGTTTTTAATTAAAATGTAATGTAAAGTGCCGTAACTGATAACCTATAAAAGGCGCAGTAGGTTTCTTTTAACGAATTTTTCAATTATTGCAAAAAAAAAAATACTTATATATTATTTATAATAATCTAATAGCGGCACGTAGTGCCGCGTTAGACTATTATATAGTTTAAGTCTTCCAATAATAATATTATCGGTTTGGCGGGCCAATAATTTTATGATTATGCTACTAATACATAGTAATTGTTTTATTATAAAATTTCCATATTTATTTATTTTTTTTTTTTTAAAAAAAAGTTTCGAAAAATAGCTTAAATTTGTTCAATATTGGTAAATAAATCTATGATGAAATTATACTTGCACTAGATATAGTACAGTAAACTTAGTTGGATAGAAAGTTTCTTTTTTACAAATATTATAATTATTATCTTATTATTATTAAAATTCAGGGACCCGATATCTGGTGTATTTTGAAAATTTATAAAGGTTTTTATAGTAAGAATCTTTATTATATCTTTTAGAGATTTACTATAAATCACAACTTTTTAAATAAAAACACGAATCATAGCAAATGATTAAATAATTCAGGTAATTAAGAAATTTCATAAATTTATCTATTTTTAAAGCTCACTAGATTTAATTATTTTATTACTTTATTTATGTTGGCTATGTTAAATTTTTTGTAAAAATAGAAGTTATATTAACCAACATAAATCCAACGTTAACTTTGCTATGATGACTTTTTAAATTTCATGTGTTAGTCAAAACGTTTTATTCAACAGAGAAAGAGGAATCTTATAATATGTACTGTATATATGATACTGATGAATAAAAGATTTGTTCATGATAAGCAGATAAACTATTTTCAAAAAATAAAAAAATCTTGTCAACTATAAATGTTATAATTTGGTTAGTTTTAATTTGGTTAGTTTTGTGTGTCAATATTTTTACGTTTAAATGTTTTACAGAATACCTAAGACCGCAAAGTTCGATATACTATTTATAAATATTTCTTCTATTTTCTCATTTTCAAATTTCGTTGACATCTGAATAATTAATATATTTAAATATGAATAACTGAAGATATGGGGATGGCCAAAAATGACGTCATTTCTTGTTGTCACACATTTCTATTTTTAGCCACTTGTAGTTAATATAATTCTGGCCAGAATTGTTTTAATTTTGCATGATGATGACATCATTGACATGGGGGATTAAAAATCATAAAATTTAAATTACATCATTTCTGGCCATCCCCAAGCTTAAACTTCCCAGTCTTTTGCCATCGATTAATTTATTATTGAGAATTTTTTTAATACTTTCCCATTTTACATTAAAATTTGATTTCGTTAAATTCAAATATTCACCTATTATATATATATATTTTTTTCTTAAAAAAAAAAAAAAAAATTGCACTGCATTTCTTTCCTTTGAGTACATATCAATAGTGCTTCGACCCAGATGAAAACCGTCATCCGGATTACACAAAAAAAAATCCAGATTATATCCGGATTGACCCGGATTTTGAATCCGGATCAGATAATCCGGATAGAAACCGGAAACCGGATTGGATTTACAAATGATCGGCAATAATTCTGGCCAGAATTCATAACGCCTGCCAGAATTACAAATTGTGTAACATTAAATTTTCATGCCAGCCGATAAAAAATTTTTTGCCCGGTGGCTAAACTATTTTTCTGGTGTCACGTGATGTTAATTTCGGCCAGAATTAACAAATTTGGCCAAAATTATCCAAGACCACGAAATTTACATAATTCCAATTTCATTAAATACTTTTATTTAAAACAACTTCTTTTAAACAAGATATTTTTATATACAGCTAAAGATTACTATAAATAGATGTGTTGGGTTAGTAAGGCAATTTTTTAAGGATTTGTTTCTTCTTTCAAAAATTAAAGAATCATTTGAATCAAATTATATAACACTAGTTTTAATTTTTTAAAAAAGTTGTTATAATTATATAAATTTATAATATTGAACAATTTTTCATTTAAAACAATAATTATTATTTTGTTGTAACAAAAATAATATAAAGTTTTTTTTCTTTTGAACGTTTGAATGTAAAATCTAAAATTATTTGTTATTTGTTAATTTATAAATTTAAATAAACAAATCTGATACAAACTTCAATAAATAAATTATAATTGAAAAATCTTCTTAAACTTACTGTATTAAAAAGTTTAATATAACAAATATAAATTTAATAAATTTTAATAAAAAAATTGGTATTAGGCGCAAAAATAATTAGCCATAATATCATTTAGATATAGATCTTTATGGATCAGCAAAATTATTATCAATAAAAAAAAAAATAATAAAAATTTCATCCGGATTCCGGGTCAAACCGGATATTTTTCATCCGGTTTATAATCCGGATGAAAACCGTGAAAATCCAGATATCCGAAAAAAAAAAATCCGGATCAATCCGGATTGATTCGGATACGGGTCGAGGCACTACATATCAAAAATACCTAGAACCACAGATCGCCTATTATACTATACTAATTCCATAAAAGCTGATATAATACGAATTATTGTCATTTTCTGCAGCTTTATAATCAATTTTCTTCATTTTTATTATTATTATTTTTTTAATATTCAAAATTAAAATGATAATAAATTTACAGATTATATTTTATTTTCTCATTATGTAAAAATATCTGATTCGTTTATAAGATTTCAGATTTCATAATGAAACTTTCTTTTAACGAAGTAGATGAATTTCAGCTTATTATTTATTTATCATTATTCCCTATAAAAAATTTTATCCGTTATTTCTGTAAAAACTTCGTAAAGATGAGCCTTCATGAATCATTCAAGGAAAATCGGAAAATGTAAATAATTTGATAAATTCCGTAATATAAAGCTATTAATTCCGGAAATATGAGCCTTTTACGGAAAAAAAGACGGAATATAAAAAGTGGATCAACTTTTTTTACAGGGATTTAATCTTAAACCATATTAATATTCACATTTTTTTGGAATGCTTTTCTTCAACCCAAATTTTTATAACACGCATATTTTTAAAATCTTTATAACTAAATTTATTATTATGTGGCGCAGCCTTTTTGAATTTTCTTAGTTACACCGGGATATTTGTTTTAACTATACGAAATAAATTTTACATTCATTTACTTCTGGCGCTGAAATCATACTATAAAAGTTTAAATTGAATATTTTGCTCTCTCCTCCCACTGATATTACTGTCCGTCTCTGC